TCAGACGTGTGCTCTTCCGATCTAAACACAAGCACTTTCTTTCCTTTAAGTAGCATTGCAACGCATGCCGGGTAATCGCTAGTTTTCTATAAATTCTTTTGTTACATTTATTATCTTTCGAAGATGATATTTATGTAAATGTTTGTCACTATAAAAAGTTGAAATAAAAGAAGAAACTGATTCTTTTAATTTTTAATTGCAACGCATGTCGGGTAATCGCTAGTTTTCTATAAATTTTTTTGTTACATTTATTATCTTTCGAAGATGATGTTTATGTAAATTTTTGTCACTATAAAAAGTTGAAATAAAAGAAGAAACTGATTCTTTTAATTTTTAATTTTATGAGTAGTAATATATATTGAGTACAGAGTAATATATTATATTTTTTATATTTTATATTATGAATTACAATACTTTTATTATTTGTATTATCAGAATTATTATTCCTTACATCTTGAGTATGTACGTTTTTAATACCTGAATCTATTTCGAATATATTTTGGATTTCGAAATTAAACTTATTTTGAGTAACTGAACCGATATATTCCTCATTAATGTGCTTTTTCAATAAATGTTCTTTAAACTTATTTAATTTATGAAATTCTCGATAACAATCATTTTGTTTACAAACAAATCGATTGATAGAATCATATTTATGGATATACGATAAATGGTTAATGAGCAGATTAATTTTGTTATAGGACTGTGTACATAAAGGACAATGAAACATTGTAAAATAAAAGAAGTACTTTTTGTTTGTATGTTAATAAATATCAAACTTTTTAATCAATCTTTATCAATCTTTTCAAAAAATTCTATCACTGATTTAATTACCTTGTCATTTTCCGTTAAGGGGTTACACCACCTTGGAGGCTTCAAAAAATCGAAATTTTTTTTTGCCTTAAATGATAGTTTATAGTTATAAAAATAAGCTCCTAAAGTTACATTTAAAAATTCGCATTTTTTTAAACAAGTTTTGAGCCATTTTAGTGAAGCGCGTCTGTAGCGCCATCGAGCGCGTCGAGCGATTCGGAACGATTCGAAGTACCTGAGCTCGATCTCGTTTTTTA